CTACCAATATACTTTCATTTTTATATAAAACAAGTTTTATGTCGGATTTTTTCTCAAAGCTGTTCCCAAGTAGTTTCCAATAATAATTTTATTTTAAAAGCATAATAACAACTCTTAGAAATTTTTATGTAATTTAATAGAAGACAAAAAAAAAATAATATTCATTGGTGCTTACCTAATTTACCAAAATTGAATGGATGTTTGTAAATAAATAAATGAACTAGATTAAAATTTAATTTATATATACATATATATATATGTATATACTGCAACACATCTCCTTATGCTTAACATGTATACCGTATATTACGAGTATATTATATTAATAACGTGTACTTATAGTAAGTATTTTTTTGTTTGTTACAATTTTGTTTGTTGCAATTTTAGCCCCTTTGCGGTACTTATTCTCAATTCGTTAATTTTTTTTTTTATTTTTTTATTTTATTAGGTTTGAATTACGAAACTATCATGTTATGAGCTTGTACTATGTATATACTACATATATATGCATAAACCTATAATAAATAATTCCATTTCCGGATGAAATTAAAACAAAGATTTTTCACGTTTTTTAATCGAAAAATTTTAAGATTTAGTATGTACTTACATACATACTTACATTTCTATAATATTGCATATACTAGTATTTTTAGCAATTTTCCAAGAAATTTTTGAAAAAAAGTTCTTATTAGTTTCATTTTGTCCATCGGTTCGTCCGTCTGTTCGTGGACATGTTTGCTAAACTTCTACACACTTCAATATAGAAAGCTGAACTTTTATACTCGTATGTAGATAGATTTTTAGTAAAAATTAATTTCCGTAGAAGGAAATTTTTACCTATCTCCCCCCCCCTTAAACTCTAAAAATACCATTTTATGATTATTTATTTATTGCAATTAAACTATAAGCATTTTTCAAGCTTTACAATTGCAGAAATATAGTGGCTGGCTTCTTCTACTGCTGCATAGTATACTTGAATTCTAAAAAAACAAAATGGTAAATAAATGCAGAAAGCTAACGGTGCATTCCATGCCATTAAAAAATATAATTATTTTTCTTAACTCACACAATTAACCCTTAAAATCTCTTTTGTTAACGCCCCTTTAATTTTCTTTACGCTTTATTTCAAAAATTGCATAAATTGTTCATCCTAAATATATGCAATCCTTGAAATAGTTTCGAATATGAATGAAAATAATTTTAGTAGTGTGATAGGTATACATAGACTGTTTTTAAAAGCCGTATTTTTACTTGTTGAAGAGAAAAGTGCTACATTATAATCCATTGTTTTGACCCAAATCTATTATTTTATATAAATGTAGATTATAATATAAGTAACTAAGTTTTTAGTATGTATTAAATCTACTGCATATAAATATTTTCGAGAGCATAAAGTAAAAAAAAAATTACTATTTTTTACAATATTTCTGTTATAAAGTATTGCATAATTCTTAATAAAAGCAAATCAATGAAAAGCATTTTGAATTAGTATGAATTTAATGTATGAAAGTATGTATGCTGGTTTTAATTTAACTATTATGGAAAAATTGAACTTATGTAGCAACTACCGATAAGTGTAAATGGTTTTAATGACTATGTATAATAGTTATTATTTTTTTTTTTTAATTTACGAGTATAATGTATGCCTACATATAAAATATAATGATTGTGTTTTATGGATATGATGTTGTTGTAGACAAAAACAAAAAATTGAAGTATATATATGCGTATATAAATTGCGTATATACTTGTTTTATTGTGTACCATGAGGATTGGTACTAAGTCTGTATATGTATATACAAAATGTTCCATTGAAGGAATGGAATATAAATGTTATATAACATTATGCTAAAACCAAAAATAAAAATATTTACATTTTTAATATATATATATCATATATATATAATAATTATATATATACCTACATATTATTTAAAAACATTTGTATTACGAATATAGGTACATAATATATTTTTGGTATGCATATTTCTAGTTAATTTAATATTTTAATATGGAAAATGCTTCTTATTTGAATTAATACCATACGCATTAAAATATACATACCTTTTTTATTTTTTTCCTTCTATCTCTATATGCTTACATATTTCAAATATTTATGTGATATGAGATTTTCTATTTTAAATTTTTTACATTTTTAAAATTTATTTTACTGCAAAACTTTTGTTTGTTTATATATAGTAGATTTTCGTATAGTGTTAATTAAAATAAATATATGATGTTTTTTTTTTTTAAATGTACAAAAACCTATAAAAACAATAATATTATTATGAATACAAAATCTTATACTTGAATAAATTAATATTTAAATTAGAGAGGGGTTCGATATTCTTTTTTTTTAGTTTTTTAAATTTTAAAATTTATTCAATTTTCCTATATAAATATAGCTACACAAAATATTATTTTTATACATATAGGTACTGTATTTATCATACTCGGAGGTAAAATATAAGGCGCCATAAAGTTTGTAAGGCTAATAAGCTCTAACAAGCTCTTTCAATTAAAAAACTAAATTTTTACTTATAGGATATTAATAAAACAAAACGAGAAAAAATAGACTTGACCTTGGCAACTCTGTGATACCCGTACGAATTTGTTATTCTATGTGCGATTAAATTTGCCATAGCTGACTACTTTAAGTTGTCATATAATCATATTAATTTATGCAAAATTTCGGTACTGTGTTTTTCAAAATATTGTGTGTGCCAAACTACTGTTGAAGTTGTATGGCAGGTACCAGAAGGAGCCAAGTAATTTTAACGAATTTTATCAAACACATCGGCCCTACTAATGTATTCGCTTGTGTGAAATATCAATATTACAGCTTTTAGGATTTCTGGCAGCTACCCGAACCAGTACCCCGATCATGTCCAGTTTTAATAGGGTTCTGGCACTTACTACAATAAATCATTTGTGAAAATTTGGTGAACTTAGCTCAATTAGTTATCGGTGGGATGGACGGACGGACAGACAAAGACAAAGCTAAGTCAACTCAGAATTCGACGCTGATCAAAAACATACACTTGAGTCTATATATCATAGCATTATTTTTACTTGTTGTTACGTTTGTACCGGTAATGTTTGTACGGTTATAAGAATTGCTTATTAAAGTTCAAAACTATAAATACATTAATGAAATAGTAAAGTATTTGAGCATTTCGACCCAGGTTGTTCTTAAAGAGAAAACGATGAATTGATCATTAAACTTCCTTAACATTTCTCCATTATTTCTTAAAACTTATTAAATTGCTCCCGTTTAATGAATAAATATATAACAGTAACTTTTCAAAAAAAGGTTAAGAAAAATTAAGCCCAACTTATAGTTTAGTCAGAGTTAGTTAGTTAGAGCGAATAAAACCACAATTTCATATTATGATACAGATTAATATTATTTTTTCTAAACAGAAATTAAAATATTCCTCATATGTATCCTTAATTATGTCTTCATATGCTACACAATTCCATACAAGAAAAAAATCATATATTTATCGCGGTAGAATGCAATGTTTAACCCTTTCGCTGTTATGAGCGATTATACTCGTCATACTAGAGTAAACTCTTGGGTCATAACGAATATACTCGCTAAAAGTTGCTTTATTCAAGAGTGTGTTCGAGAATAAGAGTGTGTTTAAATTGTTTGTGTGGCTTTAGTGACCCATTAGAAGTTAAACTCTGTTTAAAGTGTGCATCTATAATATATCTAAATAATGTAAAACAAAAAAAGTTTCTGTTTACAGTACTTTTATATCTTTAAAATTGTGGAAGATATGAAAAGTAACCCAAGGGTAATCACAATTTTAAAATGGTGACCACGAAAGAGTTAGTATGAAATAGTTAAAAATTGTAAAAAAGGTAGAAATAAAATATTTTCAAAAGTATAATCCAACAATCTTTAAACTGTGATGCGGGTTTGAAATTCCTTTGAGCTCAAAGCTCATTTTCGCCAACCCTATCTACTGTACTTTATTTTGTTATTTTTTCAATGACAGAAATATGCTTACTACAGCCAATAGTGATATTGAAATAAATTATGGTAATTGTTTAAATTTATTTTTTTAAAGAGGGTATAGAAATACCTTATAAAAACCCCAAATCCCCTTATACTTCTATAGTTTTTCACATCATCGGTGTAAAACAAGTTTATTAGTAGAACGTTAAATTGATTGCACCGTGTTGCTTTTCCATTGCATATTATGGCAAGTTTAATTATCGCGTGCCTGCCTTTTTATTTTTTCAAAGACATTTTCACTTTTTTTGGCAGTTCACGAAGAATAGTGCTATTCATTAGCCCTGTTCGCAACAGTTTACAATACAAATCCTTTTCCTGAAGATTAAGTGTTCAAATTTTTCAGTTTTTTTATAATTTCATTGTAAACTTTAAATATAGTTTAAAGAAAAACATTTAAACAATTGTTGATATATTTATTAAAAAGAAATTCAATTTTCGGATTTGTTTAACCAAAGTACCTGTTTACATTCAGAGCAGAGCAGAGACCATATTGTCTATTGTTTTGTATTTTGTTGTATGACCCCATTGAACTCTGCATTTCAGACGAAAATTTTGATAAAGATACAAGACCAGCTTTGACCATTCTCTCTTTAGAATACAAGATAGCTCATATTGAAATTGAACTGTCTTTTATTTTGTTAAAGTGTTGTTAAAATGACAATTCAATAATATTTAACAGTTTTCAAGGATACAGCCAAATCCAATATATAAGAGATTTAATAATAAAAATATTAAGATATATTTATGTATATATACACTTGAGTTTCTCTTTGTCTGGTTCTTTATTAAATTACAGGACATAAAAAAATTTTCATGTTTATTTGTAAAAAGTTATGACATTTTAAGCCTCATTATTTTTCTTTTTATTTTTGATTTTTATGGGTCACAAAAATTATTTTATTTACATACATAATATTTATGAAGATGGAAAAAAATTTTTTTCCTTTAAACTTATTTTATGTTTATTTTTTAGGACGCCAAACGAGGAACAGAATTAGGTTATATTATTACAAGAAAGAACCCACTTTCACCTAGACCAGTTTATTTAGAGTTATGGGTAAGCTAAATACATACATTCATATTTATTTTAATATAATGATGGCAGTATTTTATAAGAAAGAAAAAAATTATTATTATTATTTTATAGGGTTCACCATTATTTGCCATAAGACAAAAAATTGCTTCAGTTGATACAACAGAAGGGACCATATTTTTATTAGGACCATTAGATTTTGAAAAACAAGCCATGTTTCATTTAACACTTTTAGCTAATGTAAGTTTGAAAAATATATTTGTAGTTATTTTTAAATGTATATGTATATAAGGTAAATTTTTCTAATTGCATAAATTTGTTTCACAGGATCCATATGCAGAACCGGGTCAAGATAGTAGAAATATTGCAGGTTTAGAAGTAGTAGTTATTGTTCAAGATGTTCAGGATCAGCCACCGATATTTACAATGGCACCACCAGTAACTAAATTACCAAATGGATTACTTCCAGGCGATAAGGTATGAAGAAGTTTTGGTTTTTCTTAATTAAAATAAATTTAAATTTGTGATTTTTTCGTGTACGATCAACAAACAATATTGGACTTATATGTAGTTTTAAATCTCTATTTCATTTGAAACTTTTATATGTATTTTTATATTATTCATTTGATTTTGAAATAATTAAATTGAGAAGTGGAAATCATATTCTATTGTGGTATGGTATGATGAAGAAATGAAGGAAGAATAATAGTCCTATGGAGGTTATCTGAAAATTTTCAAATTTCAACCTTCATATTCACTCTTTTTTAACTTTACGATGAATCACACAAGTTATCATAAACTATTGTTTTTGTTTGGAAAAAGGCTTGCGTTTAATTAAATGTTCAACTTCATTTAAAACAGCAGAGCCCTTTTTTGCTAACCCTTTCTTTTTAACCGGTTCAACTTTTATTATTAGCATACTCCATTGGTAGTTTGACCCTTAGTACAACAGACTCGTTGCAAATTTTTTGATTAATTGATTAATTGATTAAGTGTAATTATTTAATAATTGATTAATTGATTAGGTGTAATAGGGGGCCAGCAGTGACTCACTACATCTGCATAATATTATTAACAATAGTACCAAGTATGTATAAGGAAGTAATTTAGTTTAGAAAACTTATAAGCACATTTATTTGAGTAGACGGCTTTTTATTTTTGTATGGAAAAGAAAGGATCCTCGGAATGCAATGTACTTTCAACTTCTCACTTCGTCTGGAATTTTTTATGTACTATACTGGAAAAGAACACAAGCATTATTTTAATGTCTTAGAGCTTTTTCTTAAGGCAACTTTTTGTTAACACTAAACTAACTAAACTAATTATCTACCTTGTATTTTCTATGTTTAAATTATGAAAAAATAATTTTCTTGCTTATGACATATAAAATGGCGCCTTATATGACATAATGTTGATAACTTTAATTTTTCATATTATTTTCATATCCATTCTATGTGATGACAACTATGTTTTACTTGTTGCTTATTATGTTGTAAAACGTAAAAAAAAATTCTTTTTCTTTTTAAATTAAAAAGAAAAAAAATTTTATTCTGTGAAAAATTAAATTATTTTCTCTTTCCGATTTAATTGTTTTGAAAATCACTTAAAAAGTGTTGCACGCAAACTTTTCAGCTTTTTCTAGTTTGAAAACTTAAAGTTGACTTAAATAAGTTAACACGCAAGTTAAAAAATTATTTTGAATTATTTATATAACAATAGACTGGACGGACATTTTGAAATTATGATGTAAATTGGATTTTAATGTTAATGTTAAATTAAATTGAAATTAATTTAAAAGATTTAGTGTTTAATAAAATTTAAAGAATTTTATAAACAAAATTCTTCAAATATTTAAAAAGATCACAAAAATATAAAGTTGGGAATTGGAAGAAATTGGCAATGCTTTTATTCAATTTTCAAATTTTTTTTAATATTTATTGTGTAGAGCTGTACGACACTAGATTTACCTGCAGGTTTCAACTTAGGAATTAATTTATATAAAACCTTTAATTCAAAATTCGATTAATTTTATTTTTAAATAAATATATGCAATTTTTGCAATATAGGTACTTTCCATAATTGCCAACGATTTGACGATCATGTGTCATTAATATCAGAATCGTCGATTCTTGCAATTTTTTGCATATGTCATTGATCATTATGAAAATTATGGTAACGCTGTTTGAAACCACACCTGATTTTCGCCATTACTTTTAAAACAACACATTTTTATTAAAAACTTTAGTTAATTAGACTTCTTCTCTATTCTCTCTCATTCGGTCTCAGGCATCGTGTAAACACAAAAATAGCAACAAAAAAAGAAAAATTGAGGCATTGCATCGATTTTTGCAAATTTTTATCGTTAGCAACAAATTAGGAAATCATAATTGACATGTCAAAACGATTATGAAAAGTTATTTTTGACGCGCGTCAAATTGATGACAATTATGAAAAGTACCATATATTTTGCTTAATATTTCATTAAGACTCTTTCCCTCTTTAGTTTGAGAAGTTGAAAAGAGACAAACGATATTTAATTAATTGGCTACGATTTATTCGGAAAAATTTAGAATGTTGTTTAGAAGTTCTTATAAATGATATAAATTTTAATATATATGCGTCCTGGTTTTGTTGTTAAGCTGGAATAATAATTTACTTCGTAAGTAACAAACATTTAATTTACTGTACCAAAGAAGTAATTTTGTGCTTGATTACATATAAGAGTGCTGTAGTACTTTGTGTGTTTTCTATCATGCAATATAGGTGTAGGCACTGTTGGCTTATCATTTAGCTTAAAATTGTCAATACAGTTCCCCTTTAGCTATTTTATTTAAGAAATTGTTATAATTTTTCCTAGTTTATACTTATTTTTCCAATTTCCGTTCATGTAATCTTTCCTTAAATCATTTGCTAAATTTTTTATTCACTACATACAAAGATAGTTATAGCATATATATTTTTAGATCGGTGGTAATCCGACGTTTAAACAATATTGCAAAATTAAATTTTCAAAATATTTATTCAATTTAAGAAAATTTTTTAAACAAACCAAACTTTTACTAATCTTTTTATTCTCTGTATGAAACAATTATGATTTATTTTCATTTTAAATTTCATTTGAAAGTGAGTGACGGAACATGAAAAATTTATTTGATATAAATTGAAATCGTTGTCAAAACTATAATAGAACTTTCAATTTTTTCTTTTTTATTTTTATTTTGAATAGCAATATACATAATGTATAAATACTCATGATTTGATATTTGATTTAATAATTTTTCACTCTTTTTTGATAGGTGTTACAAGTTCATGCTGAGGATGGTGATAAAGGTAATCCACGTGAAATTAGATACGGTCTCGTGTCAGAAGGAAACCCATTCACGTCGTTTTTTGATATAAATGATACAAGTGGTAAGTGGATAACTTTGATTTAAATTCCAAATTGTGTCACGTATGGAAAATATACACGAATTATATATACTAAAATGTTTCTGTCTAGATATATAAATATCAGATTTCAACTAAAATTTTCTTAATGTATTTTAAAAATATTTAAATATATTTTTTGATTTTAGGGGAAATATTTTTAATGCGACCATTAGATGAGGTTGCGGCTATCACTCATATTGGAGATCCTGTATTATTAACAGTTGTGGCAGAGGAAGTAAAAGTTAATCGTGACGAACCACCGGCGATGGCGTCAACAATTCAATTAGCTTTTTTTTTGCCAGAACGTAGCAATTCTCCGCCATATTTTGAAAACGATCAGTAAGTTTGATTAATTAAATAAGAATTGTTTTGCAAATATCGTAAGTTGTCTTACGATTTCTTATAAATTAAATATAAATAACATATAAATTCGGTGTTCCACTTCTAAATTAAAATAAATTTATTTTTAGATATGTTACGCGGATTGATGAAAATGCTCCGCAAGGAACAACGCTACAATTTTCTGATCCATATGTACCTAGAGTTTATGACAATGACAATGGAAAAAATGGAGTATTTTCCTTGACTTTATTAAATAATAATGGTACATTTGAAATATCGCCAAATGTTGCCGAAAAAAGTGCTTCCTTTTTAATTAGAGTTAGAGACAGTTCCCTTCTGGACTATGAAGAAAGACAATCAGTTGAATTTCAAGTACGACTACTATATAATAAAATGAAATTAATTAAAATTGAGTAATAATTTTATTTTATATTTTTATTTAGATATTAGCACAAGAACTGGGACCAGCTACAAATTTATCTGCCGCTGTTAATGTTACTGTTTATTTAAATGACGTTAACGATAATCCACCAATATTTTCTCAATCAGTTTACAGAGTAGAGCTCCCAGAAAATATGACGCTTGATACAAAAGTTGTTCAAGTAAGACTAATTAATATTATTAAATATAAAGAAAAAAAATTATACATTTGTAAAATGTGATTTGAATTTAGGTTCATGCCGATGATGTTGATACTGGATTAGGTGGAAAAGTACGATATACACAAATATTAGGTTATTTGAATACATCATTAAATTTAGATGCTGTAACTGGATTGATTACTGTATCAACAAATAACCATGGTTTTGATAGAGAAGTAATGCCCGAGTATCATTTATATGTAGAAGCTCGTGACAATGACGGGAATGGAAATCGAGTTCAAGTGCCATTAATTATACAATTAATAGATGTAAATGATGAGACACCTATTTTTGAAAAATCAGATTATGAATTTTTCTTAGCATCAAATTTACGAGGATTTACATCCCCAGCCTTTATTAAAGCGACTGATTTAGATGCAACAGCGCCAAATAATGAAATAAGATATGAAATTATTGATGGGAATTATGAAAATCATTTCGATTTACATAAAATAACTGGTGAATTAACGGTACGTGATCAAGTTGTTCTTAGAGACAGACAACAGCCACAGTCAAGTAAAAGACAAAAAAGACAGACCACTCAAATGCAATCAGAGCAACAACAACAAATGAGCGGCTACAACGATATTTTTATATTAAGTGCTAGAGCATATGATTTAGGAGTGCCAGTTAGATCATCTATCACAACTATTAGAATTTATCCACCGGAGAGAAGGACTAGAACTGTTACATTTTTAGTTCCAGGCTATAATTTAGATAAGAGAAAAACTGAAGAAACTTTATCCACTCTTACAGGTGGGGAAATAATCATTCATAATATTAGAACTCTTGGTCCAGACGAAGCAGAATCTCAAAATATTGTTGGAGAAGGAAAAGAGAGGTATATATAGATGATATATATAATATATATGTATATATATAAATAATTTTAGTACTCAATAAAATTATATTTTGAATTATTTAAGGAGTGTCGTAACAGCAACTGTCCTTTATGATGGAAATTCAGTGGTAGATCTCTCTCAAATACAACAAAGACTTTCACAGCGAAATAGTTCATTTGCAGTCATGACACGGGACGACTCAGATGAGGTAATGCATAGGATTTTTTTTTATTCTTTTTTTTTTTAGCAATTTTAGAAATATCGTTTATATTTAAAATTTATCGTGTAACTAATTGGTTGAGATTATATCCCGTACTATATACTTAATAACTTCAATAATGTTTATGTCAAACTTTGTTATTTGCTCGTTAAAATTTCTCCTCCCAAATTTTTTCAACAGAGTGCTGTCTGCATCAGTTTTTTATTTTTTGCTAATAATGTTTCGCAGCGGTTACCCTTGTACGTAACACCTCTATTCTTTATTAAGACAGTGTTAGGAAATTAGTGTGCAATATTTTCCAATTGATATTGCACTCATAACAATGACATGGGTACTAATGATTAATACTATAAACAATTAAAGCACGTTAGGAACTATACGTTGTCATATCCTGTTATGTCATTGTTAGGAACTATATGTGTAACAATTTCTACTTTATTAATTTCCCACTTTTCAAGCTCTTTGTTAACTGTTGTTAAATGTAACACTCTCATATTTATGATATTATTTATTTGTAAAATGTTTAAAGGTATTATTTGTACAAAATATCATATATGAGGAAAAATAAAATATAATATTTTTAATGAAAGTTCTGACCTAAACGTAACCAATTTAACCTTTACCATATGCAAATGAAAAAGTTTTCTATTTATAATTTCTCTTGGCATCTATGTTAATAAATTTTGTCAGTTACACATTTCTTTTTCTATCTCTTTCTTTCTTTTTTTTTTAATAAATTCATATTCCCCCTTGAGCGTTCTTTTCGGGGTTTTGCTTACCAATTTTAAATGCTTTACGAGTGGAAAATTAACCACATGTATAAAGCCGTTATTAAAAAGGCTATCACTTTTATCAGTAACGTACATAATGGGTTGGTTTGTTTGTTTTTTTTTTTCTGAATTTTTGCTTTTATGTTTTTGCTTATAGAAAAAAGGTACACACAAATATCCCTACTTATTAGAGAAAATATCGCAGGTAAAATACATAACATTTTATTTTCTTTCACACATCCATACACACATAGAAACATTTTCTTGTATATACTCTTTTTTTTTTATTTTGTTTGTTTTTGTTTGTTTGTTTTTTTTTCTTTAATATTACTGTTGCTGTCATTTTCATGCTGCCGTATTATGAATTAGATAAAATTATTATGTAAATTATTATGCTTGCTTATGGTTCGTTTTTTGTTTCTAAAATATGGTCGGTCACTCGTATTTAAATTCGTAAAATAAGTGGATTTTGTGTATGTTTGTACATGTAAATAAGTGTATATTATGTTTTTTTGTTAATTATTGTTATGGAAGTGAATGTTGTAAAGGTGTTTTATTATATTAATATTTGTCTTTTAATTATCATCAGTTATTTTTTTTAATGATAATAAAGTATAAATTTAAGAATGTATGTAATTATGTACACATATATGTTTATATTTTTTGTTACAATGTAATTTATTTTAATTTACTGATTAAAATTTTTGGTGATAAAAACGCCTGTTGATATATCGACCCCTTGTTAACAGTTTACGCACTTTTTATGTACTCAATTAACTTCCTTTAATATTCCCTTTATTACAGTAATTATTATTATTATTTTTGTTGTTAATGTTTCGCAAAAATTTTTATGTCGGCTTTTTATTCATTTATTTATTTATTACACTTGTATTTATTTTGGTTTGTTATAGTTAGGTTATTTTAAAATCCGTACAATGGTATAAGATTCTTTTGGTAATAGAGAACATTTAATTTAACGTTTTATTTATAATATATTAAAAAGTTTCTTAACTATATACATACGTAGGTAAACTAATAAATTTGTAATAGAAATAATAAAACCTAGTTTTTTTTCTTTATAATTTTATGGTTAATTATGGAAGTCAATTTTAGGTTTCGTATATAAGGATATTTGAATAAGATGTACGTGGCATAATATAATTTTATAAAGATATTTTAATATAATATTAGAAGTTCTTATTAAAAAAATTCCATAAATTTAAGCAATTTGGAAATTTTAGACTTATTGATATTCATTTCTTCATTACGTCTAAATTTACGTTTAAGTACAAAAGTCTTGGGGGAATTGAGTGAATTTAAAATCTTACTAATATAATCTTATTAAATATAAGTTCATTGTTAATTTTTACAAGTTTAAATGGTCATCTTAGCTAATTTTAGTATCCGCAATACGTTAAACGACTGCATTACCAATGTAAGGGAAATATTATTATCACATTTCACATATGTCTAGTTTTCAACAGAAATGGCCGATTCAACTTAAGAGAAATGAAAAGAAATTATTCTTAAGCAAGATATTGGAATCTTAGTCTGTATTTCGGTATCTCCACGTATATTTCAGTATTGGTTAAATCGATTTTCACGATTATTTTATATGTATTGTGAATGTCATGGATTGACTAATTTTTAGAGACACAAAACAAGGCCCTAAAGTTTTCAGGTTCCACTATTTTTTTTTCCGTTATGAAAAGAAGAATTCGACCCTATTTTTAGGAAATTTGGGCCCCAAGGATAAATTTTTTCTACAATGAAGCGTAATTTGCTTTTTTGGATATGTGGACCATAGTAGGCATTTTTGGATATCAATTAGCTTTATTTTTTTAAGTCAATAACATAAGAATTTTCTGTAAAATTCGTTTAAAGAAAAAAAAATCCCTTACGAAAGCTTTATTTCGAATTTTCAGGCTTAGTAAGATAGTCTATTTGATGTTTTGAAATATAAAACCTTTCACTAGACTAATATAAGAATTGTAGGATAATTTTTGTCCTTCATTGGGAGGAAAACATAAAAATTGTGTATGTGAAATTTGCTGGCCGTATAACCTGAAATGAGGAAAAATATAATATTATATTCCTTATACAAAAAATATTTTAATTAAATTTCAAAACAAAAATCGAATTAGTGAAGAGATTTCAATTTAAAAGGATTTTTCGTCCTTAATCATTTTCCTTCTTCTTGCTCAATTTTGTAAAATCGAAAAACTTCTGAAATATTGCGACGATTACAAATACAGGCTTATTTTTTTTTCAATAAAGCAAAAAGAAAGAGAAGTTTTTATTCCAATTTTTGTAATTTTCTAATTATTTTTAATAAATTAATGTCGCATGAGTGTACCTGCCTTTTAAATTGGTCTTCCAATTTTGTTAATTTTTTTTTTTTCTAAGAAAAAATTATATTTATAGTTCTTTTATAATTAGTTTGCATAAATTTTAAGTACTCGCAATAGAAAAGTTTCTTTTTAAGGTTTTTTCATTTGTTTTTGGGACAACTTAAAGTTAGAACTTCTATAAACCAATAATAAAACCTACATATTTTTAATTGATATTTACGTACCTTGTAAAAAGTAATTAAGATGAAAATTAATCTGAAGTTAATGTGAAAATAAAACAAGTTTTTTTTAAAGGAACTTTTCCACTTATGTACGTATAACAAAAAAGTTTTCTATGAAATATTATTGCGAATGTTATTTTTGGAACTTCCTTTTTCTTCTCGAAAATGTTATATATGGTGTATGTATGTATGTGTAGCAAAAATATTTAATAAAAATTATTGAAAATGTTTCTGTTTTGAACATAAATTTCTAAGAAAATATTCTAAAAAAATAGGCAATATTAATTAATTGAATGGGATGTTCAAATTTTGCATTTAAAAGATTTCGAATAGAAATTATATTTTTATAATACTTATGAAATCTGTTATAATAAATGAATATAGAAAACAAACTTTTTTATTATTATTCGAATTTCATTAGAAGAATTTTAATTCTAAGTACGGTTCAAGGATATTATTTTATGATTCTATAAGATTCTATATATTGTAGAAGAAGGAAAATATTTTTAATGTCTGGAAAATTCTACAAAAGGTTTATAAAACTAAATTATAAAGAAATGTCATTTAAAATTTATTTTACTTTTGCTTCCTGGGATTTTTCGTGATTATGTTGTGTGTGTGTGTTTGTGTAAAATATCTAGTTAATTACTTATCTATACTCGATTTCCATTGACGAATAAATAGTTAGTATGTATAATTTTTCCAAAATGGTATATTATGTTTGTAATTAATACTAAAAGATTTAATTGTAAAATTAAAATTTTTTTAAAGATATTTGAGAATTTTCATAATTATTTCAATAGAAACTCCTAATTAAACTAATTAATTAAGATTAATTAATTATTTTTGTTGGAAAAGCTTTTACAAGTTGTTAAAAATATGAACTTAATTACAGTTACAAAATTAAAACAAAACAGAGCGCTTTGATGCAGTTAATATGTGAGGTATGAAATAAATTTCGTCTTGTGTTTTTGGCTATGACAAATCAATAGTCTGTTAGATTGTAATTTTGAGTAAAATGTGTTCGGCATGCTGTTTTATGTTTTCAATAAATTTTCATTTTTGTATTTGCTGATTAATGAAAACAACAACGGTTTTCTATATGGAAATACTGATGATGAATACTTTTAATGATTTTAGCACTTTTCCAAAAAAATTTAAAGAAAAAGTGTTTATTATTTTCACTTTGTCCGTTCGTGGACCAATTTACAAAACTCCTATACATTTTATGATAGGCAACTCAATTTAACATATAAACAGTTCTTTACTAAAAACTTATTTCCGTAAAAGAAAATTTTACTTAACTCCCCTTATTAAGTATATGAAAATAAGTAGTGGTGGGTCTCTTCTATCGCGACCAAATATAATTGAACATGGAAATGAAAAAATTGCCCCTAAAATAAATTGACTGTTACCTAAAACCCGTTTTTTTAGATTTTTAATATCGATTTTCTTCTAGACAATTAATTGTAGGATTCTGGAATTTAAGCAGCGTTAAGATACTTACAAATAGTTTATTTCGTTAGAAGAAAATTTTTTTCTACTTCGATCCTTCCCTAAAGTTGTCGTCTCTTAAAATTCATAAAATTTGAATTTTCGGTACCACATATTTCCGAAACTGTATGCTTTTGTATATTTGTCAAGAGCCAGCAAGATATAATCATGTCATCAAAAAATGAAATTTTTTTATCTAAACTCACATAATTAAGCCCCGAATTCATGGTTATGTTAACGTCTGTTTGAATTTTCTTCTTTTTTGGTCTCATCCTAAATGTATGCAATTTTTAAAAATTTTGGTATTTGAAAGAAAGTAATTTAAATAACATAATAGATTGTTTATAACAGCAGTTGTTGAAGGGAGATGTGCTACTTTAAAAATTATTGGTTTCACTCAAATTTTTATTAGTTTCGCATTTAAAATAGTAATTTGTCGTAAATCTTTTAGAAACAAACTCGACCAAAATTATTAAATTATTTATTTATATTACTTCAAAATTGTGCTCATATATTTAAATTTTATATATTTTGTGTTATGTAGTGACATTTGTTTTTTAAAATTTATGCATTATTGTTTTGTTTATTAAAAGAAAAACTTGTTAAAATAGAAAATTTAATTAAATTCTTTTTAATATTTTACTGCTTTAAACGATATAGTAATACATTTGAAAATTATTATTAAAATTTAAAATTCTCTTAAATTTGCGGTAATTATTCAGTTTTAATTATTTATAATTATATTCGATTAAATTTCGATTTGAAAAACTTAAATAATTAATTTCATAAAGCTGTTATACAAAATTAAAATTAATTTTGAATATATAATTAAAATATTTGAATATTCTAATTTTATATAGAAAATAATTTTATTTAATTTTAATTAATACACATTTGCATTATATGTAAAAGTTTAAATTAATTTTAATAAGTTTAATATGGCCTAAAACAAAAAATTTAAATTTTATACTTAAAAATCTGAATAAATTATTTATTTCACCCTTATATTCCAAACACTAAATATAAAATAAGGCAAAATAGTTCTACATTAGTTGACATTAAAATGAAACTGAAATGCTAATGTGCATTATAATTTGTTCTAGGAATAGTTGAAAAACGATTTTAAAAAAAAGAAAAAAACTATGAATCACATGTGATGTGCATGATAATTGACCATTCCGTGCTTTCATTAAAATTTCAAATAGCCACTTAAATTCATAGGTCATTACATAGTCAGCGCGAAATAGGGTATACGTATATAAGGTATATACATATATATGTTTACTAAAATAAATAAATTAAAATACGAGAGCATGAAAAACGAAAGTTTAATTTATAAATTCAGTATTCGCTCTCATTTGCGTTTATCCTGCAAAAATTGTGTTAAGGTTATCCGATAAACTTGATGCCTACATTATTAATTTTTAAAAAATAGAATTTAAAATAAGATTTAAAAAAAAAAAAATGATGTCGCCCTTAGACTATACTTTGTTTACACTTAACGTAAAAATTTAATATTTTAGAATAAAAATTTATTAATTAAATTTATTTATTGATTTATTAATCTTTTTCAGACAATTTATAAAGCTGAAAATAAACTTTTATTCTGGTTACTTATATTGTTGGCAGTCCTGATTGCATTAACAATACTTATTCTATTATTTTGTTGTATATGTTCCTGGTGTCCATTGTATAATGCTGCAAGGTAATTTTTAATTTGAAAATAAATTTTAATATATACAAAATTTTTAAATTAATGTAAAAAAAAAAAAAAGTTAAAATTTATACGTAAAACCCATGCAATTTTATACAGATTTTCTTTAATGCTATATTACAGTATATGTAGGTACAGGATTTAATAATAATTAGTTCTTTTATTCTTAAAATTTAGTGTACATGTCATAAAAATCCTAATAATATTATTTCAATTATATAATGTCTTTTTTTTTTTTTATAGTCGCATCCCTCTGTAAAAATATATTGCGTTTTTTAGGCTGATGAAATTATTTTTAAAATTGAATTTTTTTTTTTTAGTTTGGGTGTTTGATAGATTACATATATTCGATTTTTAGCACTTTTCCAAAAAAATTTTGAAAACAAAGTGATTATTAGTTTCACTCTATGTCCGTCCGTCCGTGGACATGTTAACAAAATTTGTACATCCTTGAAGATAGAAAGCTGAAATAGATATTTGAACTTGAAACTTATTTCCGGAGAAGAAATTAATTTTTGTAGCACACACATTGTTTTTAAAAGCATTATTTTGGTGGTTTTCGTTTATGCACGCTGTGCTGAAAGATCTACATTAGAACTAAAATTTCTAAACCGCAGCGTTTAACAGTATGCAAAAACTTCAGCTAAGTTTTTTTAGTTTACGCAGTCTACAAATTCTGAAACTTCTAAATAATCAGTTGTTTAATAACAGAAATGACATTGTTTATGAAATAGTATCGCAATACTTTTCGCCCTACAATTCACTGCAAAATATGGAAATTTTAACAAGATTTGAAAACTTAAAGAAAATTTACTTTAATAATCCTTCAATATCTGAATATGCCATTTTGAAATTTAAAATTTTTTTGAATTTAAAATTTGAAAAAAGAAAGAAGTTTCAGCAAGCAGCGAAAAAATTTGAACTAGAAGTCTGCGGTACATTTTTGACATTTCTTTATTAAAGATTGAATTTTCGAACGCACTTTAATGCAGCCAGTAATTTCCGAACGATCTATATTTTTAGTGTATGTAGCGTGAATTTTCGAATGTGCTACAAGCTAGAACTATTCTAGAGCTGAATAAACGAAAACACCCTTTCACTTGTTGAAGGGAAAAGTGTTGGATTACACACCTTACTTATTTTATTGCGTTCTAACTATGCTTTATGAAAAATATTCAAAAAAAACATTTAAAAAATATTTTCTTTAATTAAATTTAAGGCAGCAATAATTGGTTGTCAGAACACATGAACAAATTTTCGATTTTAAAATTTTAGCAAAACAGAAGAATGCTAGAAGAATATAAAAAAAAAATGTTTTTGGGAGGCCTGTTTGCCGGTTTTTCTGTCTACCGGAAGGAAATGTACATTCACTAGACGAATGAATTTCAACAATATTTAAAGAATCAATCAAAAACAAAATTTTATTTTTACACTTGAGTCCTGTTTGTTAAAAAACTAGGGGAAAGGGAAGTCTCCAGTAAGGGTTAAATTTATATTTTAAGAGGTAAACTAAATTGAAGCTTACTATATTTATCTTAATATTTTACATAAATGTTTAAAAATACTATGACTTCCAAAAAGCAGTGAAAATGTAAAATTGTTACAATATATCCAAAATGCATTTTAAAAGGTCCAAATAATAAATCCAAAATGCATTTCTTAACATGGTAAACTATTCTAAAGTGTATCGAATCGAAAAACAAAAGCAGATCATCTAGGGGAAATAATTGAGACAGCTTTTCGTTGTTGTAAAATTGTATTTAAACTTTATTTGTACTGTATTAAAACCTTTTATACTGTACTCTGGAAGTCACGAATATTTTTACTAAAGTGCTATGAATAGATTTGCTGAAATTTGTAAAAAATAAAATGAGGCGAGTTATGTGCTGACCAAATAAGTTTTTTTTTGTAAATCGTAAATTATAAACCTACATTGGTTTTGAAAATAAATAAGATAGTTTCATCAGCTTAAAGCTTCATCATTTTCGATATTAAATTTATTAAGAAATTTGAATGCTTATAACAAAACTTATGTGAATTATTTATTAGTTTCTTCTAATTTTATTTATTTAGTATATTTTGTAATTAAAAAATTTCATTAAACTCTTATTCATTTATTAAAATTTTCTATCTAACTTAATTTTTAAATTTTTTTGTTGTTTTATTTTAAACTTAGTAATATTATTGCTTTATTGCCAAGCTAATATGATTCTCATCTATAATTGTAATTGAATAATGTATAATTGTAAGCAGTGTAAGCTGTTAAACTCAACATATTCAATTGTATTGCGACCAAATATCGAATATTAATTTAATCATAATTTTCAAATAAAATGTAGGATTGCAAATTTATAGGGACCATAAAAATTTTATTATTTCGATTTATTATCTCTATTGAAATTTTATTAACCTTAGTATGTGGTCCGTTTTCTAGTCTATCAATTACTTGCAACTGACATTATTCATGCATTTCAACAGGACATGACGTAGAAATCATAAATTCCAATATGTTACCAACTCAATTGATTATAATTATTCCTAAAAAGTTTGATGCATTGATTTTTTTTTGATTTGACAAAATGAAAAAAACATTTTAAAATTTAAAATTTTCCGCTTTATTCCACAATAATTTTTAAAATGTTAATTCGGAATATTGCTTAATTGCAGATTATTGTCATTATAAAATCATTAAACTTTATTAAAATTATGGTAATCATACAAATGACGTGATTAACATGATCGTCATATCATTGACATACTAAGAAACGACCTCTATTTTGACGGTAATAATGTAGAAGTGTCAAAATTTTTACAAATCTTCTGAGGAAATTTACTTCTATTGTAGTTATTTTGATATTTTGAATTTAAAAATAATCACCTAGTTCAAATATTTTTCGGTATATGCAATCACAAAATCACATTTTCGAGTTTAACTATGATGGTACTGTTACAAAAAACATGTCTGTAATAAAGTGAACATGGCATTATAGTAACAGAGCTTACAATACATAAGTCATTGCACTAATTTATAGACTGTTACATAATTCATTTTATATTAATTGATTTTACCGCATATGCTTATAAAAAATCTTCATAAAAATTCATTAATATTAATCTTATATAATGCTTTATTAGAATTGCTAACAATATTTAAAATAATTACATATACATTCAAATAGCTGTAAAATTCTGGCATTTGTATAAAATTTATAATGGGGATGATATTAGACCTTACTAAATGATACTCTGAATATAAAATTATTGCAGTTCTTAATTAATATAAAATGGCAAGAGTTCAATAATTAGTTTGGCAATAAATGAATAGTTTTTGAGTGAGTTTCACAATAGCAATTCTGAGTATATAAAAGTTTTAGATAAGTCAAGTTTTGAATATACTATACACATACATACATATATTTTTCATTCTTTTATACTACATAATATTTATATTGTGAATGGAATGGGTAATTATTTTTGGGTCCTTTCAAAAAATTTCAAATAATTTGAATAAAAAAAAAAAATCATATTGTCGTTGAAACACCCTGTACATTCTGTTCTATTCTCTTTTAATTGTAGCAAAAGGGTTATTAATGTGAATAATACTGAAGATGATGTTCACCTAGTTCATAGAGAATCGGCGCATGGAAGGCAAACAAAATCTGTTCAGGTAGATTTCGGTTTTGTAAACTTATGTTTTGTTTTTGTTTATTTTTTTTTTTGTTGTTGTTGTTTTTACATTAATTGTTTTTTTTTTTTGTGATTTTTTTTTTTTTTTTTGTTTGGGTGTATAAAAGACATACAATTTGTTTTTTAGTATACAAAATGTTTTTTAATTTAAAAAAAAAAAAAAAAGCAAAAATGAAACAAGAAAGAAAAATTTATTTTGTTTTGAAGAATTTTTTTTTACATTGCGTAATTGAAATTAAATTTACCGGAAGCTATCTTAGAACAATTTTGGCAATTTGCACATTATTTTTTTAATTTAAAACCGTTATATTTGCTAACTTATTGCTCTTGTGTTTTTTTTTTTTTAATATTATTCTGTTGCTTGGTGAAGTTTTTCATTTAAGAATTTTAATTGTAATGAATTTGTTATATTTTTTAATTTTCTCTAGGAATGGGTTTATTAAGGTTCACAAACATTCATATAAATATTTTTTTTTTTATTTAACATTAACAATTTATTAAAAAATAATAAAATTTTGTATATTATATAAAATGTTTTTCTTGATATTTTACTCTCTTGTATGTTAACGTTGTATAATTTATAACACACGCACAAATCTTTTGTTATTACAAGTAAAAGTGATCTCTTCAGGTGATACGAGTATTACAAATATATTATAATCAAGTTAAATAAGTTTGAATATTAATCGGAATAACTAAATGGGACAGCAATAGTTTTTACTCGTTTATGGTTTCAGTTCGAAGTTTATGTAGTTGAATTTCTCATAAATTGATTGAAAATTTAAAGGATTGATATTTTTAATGAAAGGTGACCTTAATCATGATATTTCTCCTTACTTACTTATTACAACTATAAACTTAATAGAGATTGCAATTTGAAAGTAAAAAAGAAACACTATTGATAGTTGGGTTACTTTAGAGGAAAATTAGCTTTGAAATAAAGCAGGGCTTTTTCGGTATTTCAGTTTTTTAGATAGATTTGACAAACAGTATGTTTCTTATTAAAGAACTACAAATTTGTAGTGTTCGATTTTTAAGTACTGTTTTGCAGCATGTTCTGTAGCTCATACTGCAAGTAAAATTTAAAAAAAACCATATTAGCATATGAGCAGTTTAAAAAATTTCATTGCAAAAATTATTTTTAACATTAAAATGTCGGACATTAGAGATTTACAAAAGTAAATTGTTTAAATTTTTAAATTAATTTGAAATTTATCTTATTTTTTTCGATTTTGTGAAAAAAATACGTCATCTGAGAATAGTTTAATAATGTTGAAATAATTTTGATTTTTGGGGAACCATCTTTTATTATTATAATACATACATAATTAATGTTATCACTAGTTTTCGATTTTTTTCTGTTTTGTACGTATTTTTCTAAAACTCTGTCATCGAAATTTTCATTTATGCCCTGATATAATTAGGTTTTCAACAAATTTGAAATAAATTCACGCTTTCCATTTCTTTTTAGTTCTTTATTTGAAATTGATTTATTAAACGAACAGCTTCTGACATACTTGCGCATCACACAAAAGTCGTAGTGTCAAATTTTGTTGTATTTCAAATATTGGAAAAAATCTTTTTTTTTAGTTCTGATTAAGAACTTGCAGCGCATCATGCAATACCGAACAAGCCCGCAGTCTTATGCGCTGTTCACGTTCATAATTTAATTTGAGCAAATGTAAAAATAACGTTAAGTTGGTAACATTGTAAAATATTATAAATTCTATTTTGGAACAATAAAATTTTGAAATGTTAAAATACTACATGTAAATGACATTGAAAAACTAGTTCCCCTAATAAACCAGCACCGATCCCATAGAAATTGTTAAGAGTGATTTAGTAAATATGTGTGAAAAAATATTGTAAATCAATTTTATGATCACACACACACCTTAACTCGCTTGTTATAGTATATGTGTGTTTAAGAACTTTTAAAGTGTCAGAAATACTTTATACTCGATACTTTTATTCTTTTAGTTTAGCTTGAATCAATAAAAAAAAGAAAGTTTAATTGAAAATCTTAGGTTAATTTTATTAGTATACCTTAACAGGAAATAAAGGTTCACACGTTTTATTCTTTTTCAAAATTTCTTTTATACCAACACAAAGTTTTAGTTTTCTTTGTACAAATTTAACAATAGAAAATCATTCTTTTATATTTCCTGGGTAATATTATTTGTGTACATTGTATTATACATAATATATGTATATGACAAGTTCTTTAAATGGATGATAAAAAATTTTGAATAGTCTAGTCTAATTATGTTGAAAATACGACAGGGTTTTTTTTAAGTTTTTGTAAGGATGTAACCTATATGAATTACCGTGATTTAATTCACCTATATGCTCAAATATATTATAATCTCACGTAAATATATCGTCGGTTAAAAAGCAGAAAGCATTAAGTCAGTAAACTGTGTTTTGAGTAAAGTCAATTTGAAACGAGAAAAAAATAGAGTTGACCTTGTCAACTCTGTGATACCCGTACGAATTTGTTATCCTACGTGCGAATAAAGATGCCATAACTCACTATGGGACAGACTATGACTTTAAGTTGTCGTATTACCATATTAATGTATGCAAAATTTCAGTACTGTGTGTGCCAAATTACTATTGAAGTTGAATGGAAGCTACCAGAAAGAGCTAAGAAATTATAACGAATTTTATCAAACACATTGGCCCTACTATTATATTCGTTTGTGTGAAATTTCAATACCACAGCTTCGGACGGACGGACGGACAGACAAAGCTAAATCAACTCAGAATTTGACGCTGATCAAAAACATACACTTGAATCTATATCTAAGACCGTTATTTCATAGCGTTACAAACGGTAAGGCAAATTTAGTATACCCTTCGAACATACGTTCGTACGGGTATAAAAATCGTAATATTGTAAAACTAATCAATTAGTGCAATGGGCTTGGTCACTTTAATTTCTAGATTTATAAACTATATTCTGGATTTGCATGATTTTTTGCCACAACAAAGATTATATTATTCTGATTTAATTCATCTATGAAATCCGAATTCTCAAAAAATGCACTTAGTGCTTTCTGCTTTTTAACCCACGATATGCATTTTGTATACCATGCAGTGTTTTTTACGCAGTGTTGCAGTAAAGTACATCATAATTCTTTCAATTCAAAATTGGATCTTCGGAATTTTTTGTCAAAATTATATTCGCATAAGTATAGAGTAATTTTAATTACTAATTTTTAAAATATATAGCGAAATTACCCGAAAAATCAGTTCGGAAAATACCCGAATTGATTTAATTTTAAAATTTTTTAAAATTTCGGGGCAACAAATTTTATTTAAAATAGTTTCAATTATGAATGTCTCGTGATTTTTTTCTTTTGGTTCTCAAGTTATAAAATATTACTGGATTTAATGGGTTTAATTTTAAAAGTATTGTCATTTCTTAAAAAAAAAAATTGTATTGAAATTCACCACAACCACTGCAAAATTTTGTTTTCTTACTGGTAGTTTATTTTTAGTTCTTTTTCCCATTATGGTGAATTCTTTTTTTTTAAATTAAAAAATTTTTATTAAAAATATTGATTTTCACTATGTTTAATATGTTCAGACTTTCATAATACAAAGTTGTGGAGTTTTCTCTACTAGGTTGTTGTAAACAACAAAGCATATTGGACATATTTTAATTTTAATTATTTCCACGGGAAATGTATAACGGTTAACAAGAATCAATTATAAAATTAAAGTTTTAATTACGAAGGACAGAACGAAAATTTCCTCTCTCTTAAATTTTTTCATACTGCATCCGATTTGTCATTGAATTCTTTAATGAAAATTAAATATAATAACATTTCAAACTTTCAGCAAGTTCAAATTGGTAATCAATATAAGGCTCTATAATGTGAATTAATGAAAACATTTACGTCACACTCACTATGCAATTCAATTTGCATAGTGAGTGTGACGAGAGAAATAAAATATTTTTCATAATCCTATTGAAAATTGATTCAGGATCTACACAATAAATGCTTGATTTAATTTCATTTTCTTCTTCATTTTGAATTTGTATCATTTCCTGAACAATCAGAACAATTTTCAATTATATAACAATATCATTAACAACTTATATAATATGACCTTGCTATCATTAAAAACAATACATATTATGTACAAATGTTTTTATATATATGCGTGATACTGGATATGTTGTAACTATAAATGTAAAATAAACAAAAAAAAAATTAATTCTTTGTATGTACAGTCACTTGAAATTGTGAAATTGTAATCCTTTTAATTTTTAAAAGGAATGAATTACGATTACGACTTGTAGCAATAGAATTTCAGTTTTTTTTTCACAATAAAATGCCAACGGTGTTCCTGTAAAACACATACATACAAATAAAGAAAAATTTTCAATTAACGTAATTCGTTTGAAATATGTGCTATAGTATGTAATTTTCTTTTTTCGTATATTTTTGCCTTGTGCGATTATTTTTAATTATTTTATATAAAATAAAATTTTTTCTTTGGAAAAAGCATTATTTTTTTTTTTTTTGTAAAGTATGTGAATGTTTAAAATAATTATTTTAATAATACCCTCAGATTAAAGTTTACGTGTCCTTGTAAGCATTATTGAAAATACTAACTTGAACTCAGTGAAAATACTGAAAAATACATTGTTAACAGTTCGTAATTTTGTTAAATGAAAATCGAAAATCTATCTCTTCAAAATATTCTTATTTATTCTTCGGTAGGAATTTTAGAAATAATATTTATAAATTACTAAATTTGAGTCCAGTTGTTCAAAAAACATGCTGTCATATGACTAAATACCCATATATTAAATAAAAATAAATGTACAAAAGTTCTAGTTTACAAGATCTTAAACTGCTGTAAGTTTTAGAATTTCTTATGCTGGCCTCGCAGAACAAGTCTCGTTATGTTCGACAACATACGAGTAGTTATCAATAATCAGGATCGAAGTAATAATGAGTTTGGTGCAGCTCAAAATTATGAAAGAAATATAAAAAGCCGAATAGGTATAACGATAATTTATTATAAAAAAATGAACTGAGCTCATGTGTTGGAATTTTTTAAATAATCAAGAAAAACATTTTAAAATTTGTGAAAAAAATTGTGGTGATTTAGAAGGTTTCTTTTTATTGTTTTGCACTTGCATGCTAGACTTGTAGTATATTATTTAATTATTTTTTAATTTATTTTTATTTTATTTTTTTTTTCGCTTATTTCTAATTAAGATTTTTTAAAACATTTTTTGTTTTTTTTTTCTAATTAAAAATAACAGGTCGCAGAATGGATGGGACGAAGGGAAGCGTGGTCAGCGGAGAAATCGTCAAATTCCCAAACGAAACCGACACGATGGGAGTTTAGTCGGCGTAACCACGGTAACGAAAACGTAATGCAACATAATCATGTTAACGAAAGCGAAGATCGTCGAATAAAATCCGCTGACGATCACCATCCTCGTATAAAAATGAAGTAAGTAAAAAGTAAAATTTTTTTTTTTGCAATTTTAAATAAAATAATCCATCTACTTTTGATTATTTTAGAAATCATTTTAAAAATAACGCAGCCAAAGATTCACATTTTCATAGTTCTAAAATAAATTTAATCAACGACCGAGACGTATACGTAGAAGACGCTGATGAAAGAAGCGAAAGAGTTTATAAAAATCAACAAAATTATCGAACTCATGGACATTATAATCATATAGACGATGATTCAATGCGGAGGCATGAAATTGATCGTGGAAGTGATGCGGGTTATGAAAATGGTGCTGGTTTGAAACGTGTAATGGATAGTAATGGTGAACTTTATATTAAGGATGGTAATACGGAAATTTTGCAATTAAAAACAAGAGGTAGCAGTAAGCCACAAGAAGAAAATATTTATGTAAATATGCCACTGAATAAAGTTTCAAATTTACAACAACCACATTTGATAATGGTAGATGAAAGTGGAAAAGAAATTTTAATGAGAAGATTTATTGAAGAACAACCGGATGGTAAACAAATAATTAGAGAACATTATCAAGTTGTTCCAGGGCCCACATATTTGCAACAGCCGATGCCAAATGAAGTTCATACAATAACTAATATGCCAGATCAAGTTTTCACAGCCAAATCCGGACCAACAAGTGTTGTTTATTCTCAAGTTGAGCCTCAAGTAAAAGTGATACATACACAGCCCGCAGATACTGTAATTGTAGCGGAAAATGGCCGCAGCAATGAAATAATAGTTCGTAATGAGCCTCTTGGTAGTATTAAAAATGGTGTGCATGAAGCTAAAAACGTGCAAGATGCGGTTACAAGTACTCATGAGCAGATTGCAACTGATATGGAAACAACAGCCGTACAACACACTGTGCAAATGCAAATTACCGATTCAACTCAATCTCTTACTCAGGAATTAGAAAATTCTTTAAAACAACAAAACGCTTTGTTGAGGCAAATATTATTAGAAAAAGAAAAACTGGAAGAACGTTATAATCAACAAGAATTGGCGTTAGAAACACAAAGCCTTCCATGTCAGTCTACAGTAGCTATAGCGACGCAAACGGATTGTGAAGCTGCAACTCAAACAACAGACCTTGACTTAATGAACGGATCAGAGTATCCAGAGTTCTCTAGAACACGGAGACGTGCAAAGAGTGAGAATGATGATTCGATGTCTGAAAATGATTATGAATATATTAGTTATAGTCCATCAAATAGTGTTGACGAAGCTTACATAGTAAAAGGTAAACGACAGGTTAAGAAAGTTAAAGGTGGTAGAAATTTCGGTTCAAAAAAAGTGCCACGTAAAAAGGTTGTGATGGTAGAAGAAATAAAACGAAAAATTCGTACTCCTATTAAAGAGGAAAATGAAGATATTCAAAACGATCAAAGAAAAAGGAATGTTTTAGGTAACACAAATTCAAATTCGCAGCGAGAGACAAAGACATCGATGTTAAGGCGATTAAAAAATGAAGGTGCTGGTAAAAATACTCAAGCAACAAAAATGAAAACGAAAACCCCACCACTTAATAGAGATATTTTAATGGAAATATCAGATTCTTTAGATGAAGGATCCAGAGGCAACAGAAAACCCCAAATCAGAGTAAAAGAAGTTCAGTATTATTCAGATGATGACTCAGATGTTGATGCCGAAGAATTTTATATTAGCCGAAATATTTACTCTCCAGGCAGTATAAATGGCGAGTCCGATGATGATCGGGCTAATAATGGTAATAGGTTTGAAATTCATGTTTCAGATAATGGACACAAAATATATACCACTCAGGGATCAGATTATTATAAAAAATCTAATGTTAATAGTATACCAGCAACACCAGCCGAAAGGCTATCTCGAAAAGATGTATCTGGTGTGTCAAAAAGTAAAAAATATAGAAGACAAACTTCCGAACCCTCAAGCAGAGCATCCAAAACTCCAGTAAATAAACCCTATCCTATAGATAAGGATGATCGAATGTATCAAAGTGAAGCTGATTTAATTGTAACAGTAGAAAGAAATGAACGAGAACCAAGTGTAGAAAGTTCAACAAAAAGTGTGCCAAGATATATGGAGTGGTATTATAGTAAAAATAAAAATGGTATGAGTGATATTAATGAAAATACCAAAAATTCTGATAAAAATTCTAAAACAAAAATTGGAAATAATAAAAAAATGATTGGTGGTTCTGAAAAACGTATTCATAAAACAAGACAAACAAAATCAGATGACCAGGGAATTAATCAATCTGATGTTAAATATAAACCTGAACCATTTCCAAGAAGTAGTACAAAATTATTAAAAGAAGATGTAGCTATGAATAAAAATCTTAAACCAAAAATTTTAACAGATACCAGTCATCCATTACTTCAACATTCGGAACATAGATTTGAACATGAATATGATACTGCAAAAGAAATACCAGTTCCGCCAACAAAACTGCCTCATTATATGTATCCAGAAACGCCACCATTTGGAAAAACCACAAAAGATGCCAAACAACAACAAAAACAATCACAAACAAAAATAGGTGAATTAAAACCAAATAGTACTAAAACAACCGTTTATATAGATGCTTCCAATCAAACAAATGGTCCACAATCAAAACAATTAAATGTTTCAACATTAGAAGATGATCATGATTCAGGTATTGCTATGAATTCATTATTACATAGTATGGGAAGACGTAATCCAATTGCAGAAAAGAAAAGTGTCTTTACAATAGCTTATGATGATGTTAGTCGAGTTCAAAAAATTCAACCTGGAAGTGCTTCGCCATAATTATTATCCTTAATCTTTTTTTTTTTTAAATTTCATTTAATTTGTTAACTAAACATTAAGTTTTTAATATATTAATAATTAAATATAAAATATTAAAGAAGAATTAAAATTAAGAACAAAAAAAAAAAACAATAATTAACTAAAAATTATACAATTAGGTAATAAATTTTAAATAAATCCATATAGTATGTAAATAGGTGTATAACGAATGAAATTGAAATTAATGAAATTAAATTTTTATTGTATGTATGTATAAGTAATTATGTACTATGAGTAGATAGATTCATAAATTTAGTAAATTAACAAGTTGTGATAGCGAAATGTGCTTTTAAAGCATTGTGCCTTTACCTGTTGTTAAGGAATTACCTATTTTTTTCTTTTTTGTGACTTGATATTACAAAATTATTATTATTAAAAATATAAAACAAAAAAAAATTTTTTAATTGAATAATTTTTATTTTTTTTTTTTATTATTATATTAAACGTTATTCCATCTTTTCATCAATTTATACTTTTTAATTTTATTTTTCATGAATTATTAAAAAAAAAAAAATTAAAAATTTTTTTATTGTTTCATTTGGTACAAGTTCGTTACATTTACTTTTATATAACGAAAGCATAAAAATTTTGCCTTTATTGTAAATATATTTTTATAGAATAATGAAAAAACAAAAAAAAAAACAACAAAACAAGATTATTATATTTGTATTATTAGGTTATGTACTTATACGAATACATATGTATGTACATATATGTATAAATTGTTTATGTTTTGAAAACATTCACATATTTCATACTTAAATTTGTAGGTTGAAACCATATATAAATATTAAATTAATATATTATATAGATTTAAAATGAAGAAAAAGAAAAATATGCTATAAAAATAAACAAAAAATTTCACAAAAAAAAAAAAAAACAAAAACTTTGTAAAATTTTATTATATCTTAAGTATACGAGTATTGTTGTATGAACGACGTTTAATGTTTCTAAAGGAATCGTGAGCCGGTTTTTAATTCTTATACTGCTGTCAGAAATTGAAATGCTTAAATAAATATATTTGTTTAACTTGGTTTTAAAATTTTTTGGAAGATAACAGATATCACAAGATTTTTGAAATAGGTGTTGTCTTTTCGAAATGTGCTTATTTACTCTCACAGTACTACAAAAACCAAAAAATTCGTGACTTCAATAATGCGCTTAAGACGTAAACTTTACAAAGTATCATGTTCCAAAAAGTTTAGTAAAACTTCTTGACATTGTACACTTTTCTTAAATGCGCTCTGTACCCAGTGGATACGTAAAATAAAAGTAAATCCGGGTATCGAAAAAATCGAGCATACTTTTGTTATACATGTCATATAAATGTTGTCAGAAATAATCAATTAAATAAACTAGCATATATTTTCAGCAATAAAGTGCCTAATTATGCAGTATGCAGTACTTCCTAAAATGCAGTATAGGAATGCAATGTTTTTAATGATGTGGTAGAATTTGTTGAAAATTAACATTTGCACAGAACTTTAAATTGAAATTTTCAAACAAACGTCAAAGTATGTATTAATATTGTAAAAATATTGTAATTCAAATTGTATCAAAAGCTTTAGCTATTGTTATTAACAATTGTAATTAACAATGTGAAGGTATTGTAAGCTCTGAAACGGTACTACAATCGTATTAATACTATACTTAAACTTTTTATAAAGCATTATTGAAATCGCGGAATATTTAGCTTAGTATCAGTGTGTTAATCTCTTGGAAATATATCCAGCTTTTTACAACAACTTGCAATATGGCAAAACCTTACAATATGTTATGAATGGCTGTTGTGGTCCGAAAGAAGATGTCCTCTAACCCCTTCTGAAGCAAATCTGAAACTATCCAACGGAAATTAAAAAAAAAAAGTAAAAAATTTTTGTATTTAACTCTTAATTTTAAATAATAGTTTGTACGTTTGTTTCATAATATTCTTATTTTGGAATACTCTGCATAAAATATAGAGCAACAATTATTACAAAATTGTATTTTTCATGTGGAGGCTCTAATGTCTGAAAAGATAATTGATATCAGCTTCAAATATTTTTTCTAACATTTTTATTTTTTCTTTCTTGTTTTTCTGCTTGGAGTCCTTTCAGACTTCTGATTTTAATAAAGTTTCATGAAACCTGACTCTTTGCATGCATCAAAATTATTTCTATTATTCCAACAAAGTCAATTATATTAGGAAACTATGCATGGAGATATCTGTTAGTTCTTTTTTGCGTTAAAATACTAAAATAATTATGAGCCAAGTGGTGAGGCATACCTAAACATCAATTTTCGAACCATAAAATCAATTCAATTTGGCCTTTTTCTGGGAAACTTGCCTTTTTTCTGGGATACATAAAATTTTTTTTTGTGTTTTGATGGCAGTAAAATTATGACGCGGTTCTATTAAGGTACATTAAAGTAAAATAAGTAATATTAAATCATTTTTGTTCTGAATTGTAAAACAATACTCTCCACAAATCCACTTTTATTTGTAATAGCTTTATTAATTTGCCTGATGGACACATTGCGGTCCTTTACGTTATAAAAAAATAATTTCGCTAATAATTGTATTCTTATATAAACAACAACTGATTTCAAATAATTTCGTTTTAACTATATGGTAAACTATAAGATGGATAAGACTGAGAGATGGAAAAATATAGTAAAATTAATAAATATTTGGAATTTAATCAGTTTTGCTAAAGTAATCTCTTGAAAAACTAAATTGATCTTCAATAATTCTACGCGGAGCTCTTTAATGAGTTTGAAAAAAAAAATAGTTTGAATGACTCAGAATTAAATTCAATCAGACCCAGAATGCAAAAGTATTTATATCTGATTGAAATTAATTAAAGTTTAATTTTGTTGTAGGCTGCGTTTTAAATTTATCTTGGTTCAAAGATATTTTTGCCTTCTATACTAATAACACGATTATTACCGACCGTATTGTGTTTACAATAGGCAGGCTATGTGATGGCAACAAATTTTGCATATCGAGTTTTCGGTGGGAATGCACTTTTCCATGGTATAGGGGAGTGTAAATAAACTATTTTTAGCAACCTGTCGGTCTGTCGGTCTGTATGTGCACGGGTGTATCTCAAGTTCGGCTGAACCGATTTTGATGACATTTTTTATGTAAGTTTATTTCGACTATGGTACGAATTAATCAACTTTTGGGATATATCAGGCCTCCGGAACTACACCTTTTACCGGGCCTGTTTTACATTTTTGATCATTATGAAGAAAATATTAAACAGATTTTTTTGAAATTTCATATATAAGCTACGTTCGTACGTCCGTAAAACCTCCTAACTTTTGGAAGAAATCGGGCGTCAGCAACTGGACGTTTACTAAGTGCCAAATATACATTTTCGCGTATATAAAGAAAAATAATCAACCGATTTTATTGAAATTTAATATTTAAATTCTTCGTACTAAAACAATGAACATATAAATTTTTTGGACAGATCAGGACTCGAAAACTGATTTGCGGGCCGATTTTACATTTTTCACCATATCTACGGAATGAATTGATGGAATTTCTTGAAATTTGATATTTGAGTTTTGGTTGTTACCGAAACTAACCGGCGAGCATTTCAGGGAATTCGGGTAGCACAAAGCGAAACTCTACTAAGAGCCAAATTTACATTTTTCTAGGTATGTTAACTATAAGCTTACTAATGCCCCGAAAATTGGAAAGAAATATTTAACAGACATTTTTATAATATTCTGTAACGCTTTCACTTAACTAAACAATACACATTGGGGTCGGTTATGTGCTGACCACATCAGATTTTTTTAGAAAACTCCACTTTACTTTCAAAATTTAAATTCTTGTAGTAAGGCGTTCCATAACAATACTTAAAAATCCGAGAAAAAGTAAAGGTTTCATAGGCATCAGAAAATTAATAAAAAAAAAAAAGTAAAAAGAGGGTATTTTAAGGAGAGATGAAACGGTCACGTTGAAGAAACCAAAAAAATTAAAATTTAAGGTTTTTTTTTCATATTTTTTTTCTTTTATCTTCAAAGAAAAAGTTTTCGCTTTAAATAAGAAAATTTATTGTATTAAACGGTAAAAATAAGGCTCTCAAGTTTTTCAAAAGCGGATAAAAGAGAAAATTGATTTTTGTTTTTTGTTTTTTTTTTTTGTGTTTAAGGATTGCAAGTTTAATAAAAATTCAAATGTTAAAAATTATTCCTTTGTTCCAATATGGGTTTGCTGTCAAAAATTATGATGAAAGGTTTTTCATAAAAAAAATATATGTATGTATTGTGTAAACTAAAAGTTTGTATTTTCATAATTGAAACATAGCGAGAAGTTTTTTTTTTCATTTTTCTACCTTTTGCCGATTATTCTTATTTTTTGTTTTCTAATTTGATCGACAGGGGTCAAAATTATAAATGTAATATTAAAGGATCAAAATTTTTTGAAGAACATATTGCCTAATTAATTATTACGATGCTTGGATAAAAATTTCCTTATTGTTGTATTCCACCAATGTGTGGGATCTTTCTGATATAAATATTTTAAAACATAATAAATGATCTATTGTCACTATTCTAAAAATTTATTAATTGAGTTGTTTCGATTGATTAGAAATATTGTTCTGGATTTCCATTCCATTCAAATCCATTCTCTGGATTTTTTATTTGCATCCTATTTAATTTATGAACAGCAATTGTGATGTTTGAAATTTTATTTTGAAAATATAAGACTTACAATATAATTTTGCACTGATTTCCATTGATAGAAGAATGTGTGGCTGGTAGACTTGTACTTTAATTTCAATCTTTAAAAATACAAATACAATACAAATAGCATTAAAAATTTTATTATATTTGGGTTTGATGACAATTAAAATAAATTTTCATATCTTAAAATTTGATAAGACATAGACTTACCGCAGCATGAACTTACCTCAGAATTAATCAAAAATGACATTTTTAAAAGCCTTTTTATTCAAAATTTATTATCACCTTTTCTAATATTATCATTAAGATCTAGATAAATCTTAAAAAGAAAGTTAACAATAATTAGGGTTGGGAATTTCGGGTATGTAAATATCTAAATAATTAAGTTTTGCTATTAAATAACTGTTATTGTGATAAAAGAGTTTTAATAGCATTTTTATAAACGAAACAGCCCTGCTTTCAATGTGCACGTTTGTATGTATGTAAGATTATTCTAGATAAGTTGATACATACATTATGAATTTTTCATAACACTTTTTGTAATAATTTATTTTACGCAAAATAAATTTTCAAGCTTAATAAATGCGAATTTAATTTTACAAAAAATTTAATAAATTGTTTTCATCTGTACTTGACAGTTTTAAGACCCGATAAGTCATTTTGCTTACTATATACAATTTAATACTCGTAAGAGAAAGAAGGAGAATGGTAATTAAATGTTGCTTATAGAATTTCTTTTAATTCTAAAGATATTTTTGTCTTCTATGACAAAAAAAGGAAAAAAGTTTTCTTTATGCGTTATAAACTTTTAAAAGTAAAGTGTAGGTGGGTTTTTTAAGAATTTTTTAAATTATTTTCATTTATATCGCGACATTAATAATATTA